AGTAACACAGAGCTTCTGTTCTTACAATATATGCTGGTTAGTTTGTTACCTGCACATGTTGGTAGATAATAATTAAAAAAAAAATAAATCACCCTGTTTTCTCCATTCCCTGAACATCTCCCCTCCACTCGAACACCTTCTCCTGTGTTTTCTTCCTGGGTGTTCTACCTACAGCTGATCATCCTTAGTTAAAATAGCTGGGCTTCAGTTTCCATTAGTTTATTTAGAGGAAAAAACTGCATAATGCTGAGCTGGCACAGTGAGAAAAATAATGTACCCAGCACAGAACTGAGAGAAAAACAGAGGAGAGACAACTTCCACTCCCTCAGGGGTTGTACTTCTCCTGCCTTTTCCATTGGCTGCTGAAAATGCAATTCATTTCACTGTCCCACAGTCTTATTACCTTCATGTTATTTTTATCTGTATCACTGTTCCTTATTATTTGACTTGTTATAATGCCTAGAAACCTCAGCCAAGATCAAGACTGTACAAATATGGCCTGAATCTGCCAGTGAAGTATTGCAAATTCTAATGGAAGAAGCAGGAATAAGAACAGAGAAAGCAAATATTATTGCTCCAGTTTTGTGTAGAGAACAAGACAGAGAAAGACAAAGGGAGATGTGCCTGAGTCTGGGAATCTATATGTTGATGCTCAGCCCACTTGAGGTCACTTGCTCAAGGTTGATCAAGGGCTATGTAGTGAAGATGTGGGCTTGAACATAAATCCCACGAGCTCCAGTCCACTGTCTTAATCACAAATTAATTCTTCTTGTTTTCAGCTTCTCTTTCTTCCTTTCTCCCAACCACCTACACTACTGCTGTTACGACGTAGAATATCCTTTTCTGCTTTAAATTTCTCCTCTCTCTGTTACAGTAGTTGGTTTTGGCTCCCGTCCCCCTCTCCTGCTCATCAGAAGGCTGAGCGCTGCTGCAGTTGGAGGCTGGCTTACATAATGTCCTCCACCCATCCAGCTCCTGCTTCGGCATTTCCCCACCTCCCCGGCATGCTGAACAACGCTAATGCACTCCAAAACGTGGGCGTCGATAGCCCTTGCTATTTTATTTTGGCTAGTGCTCCAGTAGATGTTGGTAGATGTGCAAACAGGTGATGCTTTAAAAATCTCGTGTCTATGAAATACCCACTCGCAGTGAACTCTTCAAATTAATTACATATGTGTGAAAGGAACATCTTCCATTAGATGTGTTCTTTTTTAGGAGTCTTGTCATAAAGCAGAAAAGGTTGACCTGCTTGGCACACTCTATTATTCTCTATAGATGCATCTTTCATTCTTTTCCTGACATTAAGAAGTCATTTCATTTCTGTGTTGACATTTTTATCTTCTCTTTATAACCTTTCCAAAAGCTGTGCTATTTATTGAATTTTTGCTGACAAACAAAAGGCTGAGGGAAAAAAAAACTGCATAAGCCCAATGTGGGAAACTGTTCTTTTCTTCCCCACATAAGTCTATGCAACTCCCCCACATATAGCAAATGGCAAGAGCATGCTGCATTCCTCCGAGGCAGATGAGTAACTTTTTAGCATTCTTTTCTCACTTCACTACCTTATTTCCACTGTCTTTTCTTTCTGGTTCCATTTCAGTTCTCTTCCACCCAGTGCTTTGGACTCATCTGTTTGTTCCAATATTTCCTGTTTATTCACTGGTTGTGATTGCCCCTTCTTTAACTAGAATTGGACTATTTGATTTATTCCATCTCCAGTTCTGTTTAGCCTCCTTTAGTCAGCTATTGCTTTGCAATGAGAAAACTACATATACAAGTACTTAACTCTACAGCATCTCTAGTTCATCAAAATGTTACTATCAATGTGACATTTTTTGGTTTACATTATCAAATCTGGATGAATCCATGTTCCTTATCTACTTAACAACTACTTTGTGAACAAAAGTAATTTCAGAGTTAGAGCATCTTGTCCTAACAGCAGGCTAAATGGCTACTAGCACTGGCTTAGGTAACGCAGAGCAACAGAACAAAGATTTTCACAAGAACGGGCTCTACTGGATGATGAGAAAAGATACAATGATACCTCTCATTCCACTAAAGGAGCACAACCTCGGAATGTACACATTTTTAGAGCAGTGCTGTAAATAGCAGTGCTGTTCTTTGTCCTTAATGCATCTACCGCACGGCCTTCCTAATAGATGCAAACTGTAGGAGGGCTGAAAGGGCTTTAACTGTGCCTTGCCCCAGTTGGTTTGAACATCGCTGTCCTGCAAGATGGGGCTGCTGCTTCTCTGCAGGTAGCGTGTTGCCCGCTTGGGCTCCAGCCAGGCCGAAAAGTCAGGCTGGGTGTTTGGTGTGTGCTCAGCAAGCCTCTCCAGAGGGCTTGAAAGCCCTGTGGTCATTGGCCAAGAACTGCTCTTTTGGGTCTGTGTGCTTCCTCAGTCTCCCAGTAGAATGTCCACACCAAGGAAGCCACTACTACCCAAACACGGCTGGGAAAGGCAGTGGCTGTGAGCTCATCCAGGTACAGCTTTGTCTTGAGATGCAGCCAATGGAGGTGACGGGTGATTTAATCACACTCTGAATCCAAACGGGGCTGTGGAAGACCATATGGCTTCACAATTGTTTGAGAGGTTTCTTTTCGTTCTCTGTGTAGACAGTTGCTGTCATTTTCACGAGATGAAATGTGCACTGGTGTTATACTTGATGCTGAAATTCACACATACTTTACTTCAGCAGCCCCAGCCAAACTTCACAGAATTTCTCACCACTGTGGGTTGTGGGTTTTTTTGTTGGTTTGCTTTTTGGTTTCAGTTGGGTTTTGTGTTGGGGTTTTTTGGGGGAAGATATCGGATGACAATGCTTTTAGCAGATTTAATTTTGAAAATGAGGTGATGTAATGGATTTGGGGGGGGATTAGAGTGGCTTCGAATGAGATGTAGAATAGTGTTAGT